TGAGCCACGGTCGGAATCTTATTGTCGTCGTATTGTCGGCCGAATCCATTACGATTTCAAATCGATCCCTGAGCGATTCAAAATCGAGTATGCGCATTTTCTATAACCACCCGGCGGGAAAAGCGTACACGGCCGCCGACACGTAGTCGTTTAAATTTAAATGTTTTCTCGTGATACTTGTTACGTATCTATACCGTCTTATGCGATATAGATCTTTGTTGTGTATGTTGTCACCAATCATTACTTTATCACTTTGGATTACCGATGGGATGTTCAATTTAACAGAAACAATATGAGCCAAGCATCTTAACTTATTTACTGCATTTAAAAACGCGGCCAATACCTACGTTGTTTTTCGTCAATTTTTATAAATTTTTGACAGGAAAAATTGTTCAGCGCCGTGTGGGTCGACAGGTTGGCCACAAGACACCTCGTGGGGCTATTCTTAGTAGATGGTAAAAGTATGTGAGGTCTTATTTCTTAATTTTTGTATCAGAACTTTTATAACGACCGAAATAAATCCATTATTGTTAGAAAAACATTTATTTTTTTATTCATAAAAGCCATTCATGAATAATTATCTTCACACATTCTTATCATTAAAAAGAAACGGTTCTCAATAAAACGCCTAATGGGTTTAACGTGTTTGTTAAAAATATTTTTATATATTACACTCGAATTTACCCGACCTCGAATAAACTTTACTGTACCGTATTTTAAAGCTAGCTTCTCTCGTTGTGCCAACTCGTTAATGTATTTGTAGTTGTTGCCACGTAATTTAACTTGTTTTTCTTTCGTTTCAGGTAAACAACGTTTATAAAATACACGACGCGGTCGGAATATGAGACAGGTCGGCAAACAACGGTACAAATCTCCTCGGCGGCCAGGGGAGCGACCTCCTTTCGCTCTAAGCTCTCTTCTGCCTGTAGACGCGTTCTAAAAACTTCATTTAGATCAAAGTGAATAGGATATACGTCAGCGATACGCGATATGTTTTGTTTGGACTCTCGCAAAATAACTCGCGCAGAGTTAAGGAAAAGACTTGGGAAATTTCGTCTCTCGTCTGAATAAACATCTTTTAGCTGAATAAATTTTAAAAATTATTTCTGCTGATTGATTTGTTATCGTTTAAGAAATGTTCAGTGCGCGGGACGACGACTTTGTGAAGTAATTTTTACGTTTAGAATTATGATTTTTAGAATGCAAGTTTGAAACTGCTAAGAATAAGCACATTAACTGTGGTAGGGCCACACAAAGGCCAGGGATAGACACAGGGATGTACAACAGTATTCACTGTTGTACAAATGAGCGTGTCTATCCAGGGAATAACTACGATCTCACAGAAGACCGGCGTCAAGTGGAAGCGTTACACTTAGGCGTTTCGTCTGGTGAGTGAGGTAACCGGGGCGAACTGTGTTAGAAGGTGGCAACGCATCTGCAACCTTAAGGGTGCTGCAAAAGTCTATTGGTAGCGGTTATCGCTTAACATTAGGTGAACCGTCAGATCGTTTGCCACGTTCTCACATAAAAAAGCGTACGGTATTAGAGTTGATTTTTATTTTACTCACTTTACAACTGCAGTATTAAAAACGCAAAAGCGAGTAGTCGCTTCAGACTGAATTTCTTAGCATATCGACGATTTATGCCCCCCATCCGTTGATGTGTTGTTTTTATTTTTGCACCGGAGCTCGTGTCGAAACGCTTCAACTGTCCGTGGCGTCTATTTGCATGCACTTTTGTATTCCGCCGTTTTCCCCTCGGTAGATGTGAACGCGTGATTTATGTACGTGTCCTTACGTACAGAGCGACCTTCTAGGTCAGTCTAGAGGACACCAACTAGTCCTCGTGTATATTTCCCATGGCAGGTTATGCTTAAGTGATGTAGAGTCGATTGGTGATCTGGAGTAGTGCGTTTTAACCCCAATCGCTTTCACGCGAGAGTTAGAGAAAGTTAAGTACTCACCAAAAGAAAGAAGAAAATGATAATTGGTTCACAAACAGATGAAAAAACTAAAATATTGGACTGTTTTGTCTCTATTTGTAATGTAGGGACATAAGCTGTACATGAACTAAGTAAGAAACCTTATCTTGTTGTGTTTCGTTGCGAACGAGTCGCGTTTGTTATTGGAATCGTTGTTATTCTCTATATTTTATTCTTTCCTCGTTACGAGTACAGCGGCCACATACGTACATCAGTTGCGTTGTGAATTGAACCCTGTCTATATTTAACATACGGCCTAGAATTGCCACTCACAATCGTCGAGCACGCGTGACGGAAAAATTATGATACTCTTGTAGCATAGCGTTTGCAGTTACAAATGGCGATCTCCTCGCAGAGTGTGGGAGTCGGGACAAGTGATGCTCTTATACTCGTATGAGTGTGTGTGTATGCATATGTGTGGGTATATTCTTTCGTCTGCTCGCATCACTGAATTAATGATTTTCAAACAGACGCGCCAAGAGCGGCGCGCAGACACTAGAATTTTTGTTGGTTTTAGACCACACCAATTTACGCTGAGGACGGTGGGGATGTAGCCTTTGTTAGGTGAACGCGTTCACCCTAGTCTATCTTGTCTCATTGCGCGAGAACGTCGGTACACACCACTAGTGTTAGCCGGAATAAGCCAATGCCGAGTAGCAATGCGGAGTCAGCTTATGAATCAAAAAAGTTTTGAAAACCAGCCGAAAGTGTTATGTTGATATCGGCAAGTATTTTGTTTTACGGAGATGTCGATCTTCATTCGTCTCGACTTTGACACACTCGCTTTTTTCATTTCCGTACTACGAGAAAAGCGTTGACATAAATTGAATTTTCATTTATGAAATGGATTTCCCGTAGATGGAGAATATTTTCATATGTATAAATAAATAAATATAAATAAATAAATATTTTGGACACATTTGTACACAACATTTTCTAGTCCCAAACTAAGCAAAGCTTGTACTATGGGTACTAGAAAACTGATAAACATACTTAAACATACTTTTCTTTTGTAAATAAATACATATTATACATATAGAAACAACCAGACACTAGAAAAACACCATGTTCATTACAAAATATTTTTCCAGTAGTGGGGATCGAACCCACATGAAAAAATGGAGATGGGAAACAAAAAAGGAAGTTTCGTCTGGTGAGTGAGGTAGTCGGGGCCCACTTTATTAAAAGGTGACATCGTATCTGCAACCCTTCGGGTGTTGCTAATGGTGAACCACTAGCTGGTTCGAGACCTTCTGACATAAAACAAAACAATAGAAGAAAGGAGAATAATAGAGTAGGAGTTATATCCATCGTTTATTTTCGGAAGTGATTTAAAGAACGTTAATATCGTAATTAAATTCCGACTGATGTGCCAACTCTCATAGCAATATCGGTGATTCATTATCTGTGATCTGTACGTATTTAGATGAAACACCCTCATTGGTCCGCCCAACCCAATGTACACTGCTGTAGGGTGTTTAGTGCGCTGCCAGATATTCTGGCAGTATCTGGCAGAGACGAATGTTCCGTTTAATAGTACATTCAGTCGGCATATACTTGTCCACAGTGCACACTAACCCCGGTCCAATTGCGTCACCCCCAAAGATATTTATAATTTTTTTTCAAAATTCAAAAAATTCAAAATATCTTTATTCAAATAGACACTTAAGCGTTAAACGTCGAATTTTACATAAAAAATAATACAAGTTCGTATGTAAGTTAACACCAGTTCGGAAAGCAGTTTCCTGTTAAGAAGATACCGGGAAGATACCAGAAAAAACTCAACTCTAGACTGCATGTGTAATATTCTACTTTCAATTAGTACAAATTGGATTGGACAGGCCAACGTCCTGTAGTAGACTATTTTTAAGTGTTCACCAAGCACCCACGCTTCACTAAGGACATCTTATGACGTAGGTAGATAGTATTATATCTATGTACACAGTCGTTTGATAATTATAACATATTTTAATATCATTCCTGTGCCGTGACAGCTCTGTGTCTGTTTAATTTAATTTATCCTAGCAACAACTGAGTTCAAACCCCGGTGTCGGCACCGAAAAATTCGTTAATTGTAATTTTAGGGGTCGCCTTATGACTTCATTGGAACAAAAACATCGTGAGAAACCTACATATTTTCGAAATAAATGTGAAATATACTGTATAAGCAATCCGCAGTGGGGTCGCGTGTTAGACTATGCCCGAATCGCACCTTTAGAATTATAGTGAGCTATAAAAATAATTTTTTTTGGTAAACGTAAAAGAAGGCTTTGTGGTACTTATGAACAAATGCGGTAAGCGGGGGAAGTTCCATACGGCCTCCCGGTCGGAAACGCTCAGTACTCCCGGGCCCTGCCATTGCTCGTTGGCTAAGGATAGAGGGATAAGTCCTTTATCACAACTAATGACGTCTGTGTAGATTGACTCATCCAATCTCACCAGGAAGTAGTTGCGGAGGCTGCACACCTTGCGATTGTGCATGGTGAGGGCTCTCAAAAAGCCCCTCCCGCCATGCTTCCGCGGCAGGTACAGCCTCATCACTGACGATCTCGGATGATGCATTCTGTGGGACGTCATAGTTGTGCGGACTTTAAGAAGAAGAAAGAGACCGAAGTATACGTTATGTAACTTTCTAAAATCGGCCAATGTTTTAATAGGATTAGAAAAAGATTTCCTATTAGGTCCCTTAAATTCTAAAGGTGCGTAATACCCTCCGTAGAGAGGCCTTTGCTTAGCGGTGGAACATATATAGGCTTTCACTTTAGTTTACTTTTACATGATTCTTAATACTTAACGGGTTGAGTATTATTTTCTCAAGAGGCCCAAATCCGTGAACCCCTCAGACTCATTTATCATCGAATGGTAAAAGCATATGGCGGGATCCCGGATTGTTACAACAATTGTGTAATGAACACATCCATTATGTCGGGCCTGTATCGATACACGTCGCTCGATCGATCACGCTATAAAGGTCTGTATTCGTTAAGAAGCGTGCCGTTTTGATTCTTAACTTAGATTATATGCTGAAGCTATTCTTAAGCGACATATGTAGCATTGCTACGGTGGATACGGCCAGAAGCTTCTGCCTGGAACGAATCGGTTGACTCGATTAGGGATGTGCCTCGTAACGACTGGTACAATTTTTAGTATCATTGTTTTTCTATTCTTCCGATAATTGTGGTAGCGGTGGCCGACCTTTAATGGTGGTGATGATTAACTCGGCAACGATTGGCATATTTACCACCAGTAAAAAAAAGCCCGTGAATCAATTTCACAAACAGTTTATCTAACTCTGCCCCCTAGTATAACTATTACCCAACGAACAATACATGTATAGGGTAATTTACTGAGTTAGTTCATACCAAATAGGACTGCAATATCACATGAAACTTTTCAAATGACATTCAATTCTGAAAATCGTACAGACCGTTCGGCTTGTTGGTAAAAATACTACGAGTCTGATTTCAAGTCGAAGCACGGATTGTGTAACTTTAGAATGTTGTTTTTTGGACTTGGCATGGCGAGCATACCCGAGCTCTCCTTTAGCTTTATTGCATACTTATTAAGCAGTTCTATTGAAAACTTAGATGGGTATAAGAGCCTTATTGACTCTGACTAAACTGCAAAATTAACATTGTCTGAAACTGGGATATAAAATGGGCCGGAAGATTATATGGGTCTTATCGATACTGTTTATTGTTTGGCGAAGCGGGAAGGCGCAATATATGTGTCCAAAGAAATCTTTGATAATGTTGCCTATATTTTTGGCATCGGAGATTATGCTCGGAACGTAGTGGGTTGTTGTGTTTCACTTTTCTGCAAATACAACAGTCGTCTCAAGTAAGCCGTCTACGTTGATCGGTCACTTTTTTGCTTACTTTCGATAGAGAGAAAAGTTTCCAACGATATCCAAGTTAATTGTGCGTTATCCAAGTTAATGACAACACTACGTTGACATCAACGAAAACATTCTCTCCCCCTCCTCTACCCCCCCCCCCCTCGACTCGAAGCCCTATAGTATCTGAAAAAAAATAGCTCGCCGCGACTCAACGCAACCTGTTTTCAGCGCCCACCCTTTTTTCGTGGAACAAAACTCCCCCGCCGCGCGAGGGTGAATCGTGCCCGCGCCGGTTGACGTCAGCCCCCCACCCGACCAGACCGGTCTCCCCGGGGCTCCTAAAATAGAAACGGAGGCCCGGGAGCTCAATGAAGACCCCCAATCCCCCCCCTCCCCCTCCGGCTACCGCGCGACACCGACGAGTAATGAAAAACGTCTGTAATTGCAAAAGCTCTTATACGCCATTCAGGTGCTATATATAATAAACTGCACAGACACTACGCGTGTACATAAATAGACCTTTCGCGTGTATATTTTGATTGTTGATGCGTCTTCGGTTGGTTTATGACGATCGAGGTCATGTTCACGCGTTCATGTCTCTTGTTCTAGGGTCGTTGATAGCTGTGCGATGCAATACAGCGGAGTAAGGGACGGAGAATAGTATGGTGGGCTTGTTAGGTATTATGGTGAATGTAAAAGTAACAGCCTATACATGTCCCACTGCAGGGCAAAGGCCTCCTCTATATAGAGGGTATCAGGGCATAGTCCACCACGCGGCCCCACTGCGGATTGGTGGACTTCACATATTTTCGAAATATATTTTTTTTGTTATTATTTCGAAAATATGCAGGTTTCCTCACGATGTTTTTCCTTCACCGCGGAGCACGTGATAAGTCAGCACTTAAAGTTAAAAACTTCATTGGTGCCGGCACCGGGGATCGAACTCAGGTTGCTCGAGTATATTGAATTAAAGGCGAGCGCCCGGACACTGAGCTATCACGGCTCACTGGTGAATGTAATGCTAGCTAATACCCGCGACTTAGTCTGCGTTCCTTGTTATATTTACAAGTACATCGTTTGCCCGACTTCTCTAGGTCATAAAAGTCTTTGTTTCATAAAACTTTAATTACTTTACATTACATGAAGATATCACAATATTTTTGTAGCTAAGGTCAGAGTTCCTGAGAACCAATTAAAATCTCTCCAGTATTTTTTTCGTGATGGGCACACAATAACAGACCTATCATTTGATTTATATAGAAAAGATAAAACATAGATTCATAATTCTGTGTCGTCTGAAATTTCCTCAAAACATTATCATTTAATTTGTTGATATTTGTCATGCTCGTTCTGACGAATTTGACGACAAGAGAATGCTTAATCGTGGGCGCGAGTTCGATAAGCGACCGCTTTTCGTGGTCGCTTAAAAATGCAAGTTGCCCTCTAAAACTGAGGCGAACGGGTGCACTCAAGGAACGTTCATATTAAAAATGGAAGCACGAAAAGTTGCCCAACAGTCTGTCTTGTGGACGGAAGAACGAGGCCGCTGAGTCAAGTTTCACCTTTGCGTCAATGCCTGCCCGGAGCTCGCTATTAGAGAGCGTTGACGACGTATACAATGCTCGTTTGTGTTATAGTGTTGTTTAAATTCGTATTTATAATATGTTTTTATAATAGGTTTGTTATTAGTCACTTTTCAACCGACTTCAAAATAGCAGGTTCTCAATTCGGTTATATTTTTTTAATGTTTATTTACCTCGGAACCGTTGAGGTTTGGTTTCGGCTTAGATCCTACGTGGTTCCGTATTAATTTCATTCGTTTTGGACCTTCGACTCGGGAGGTATATTGGGGAAAACACCCCAAAATCACAAACAGAATGTATAGTAAGTGAGAAATATTTGTAGTCGCTTTTGTTTTATCATGTACTTATTTACTATTAGTTCTATGGTGTTTTTGGTTGGCGGTTTGCGGTTCATTGTAACCTGACCTAATAAAGCTCCCGTTACAACCGAGTCGACGAAACAAAATTTTCCATAACGGATATATTATTCTACAGTATTGGATACTGAATGAAACTAATTTTCAAAGATCCACGACCGGTACCGATAATAATTTGCGAATGCATTCTCTGTCTCGATATGACTCTGTTCTGTTGCGGTACTCAAGGTGATAAAGGGCCCATACATGTGATACATGTAGCTTGCTCCTTGTCCGGCCGGGAGGTATCGCAGTCCGCAGTGCCGCGCGTACAAACACACCACTTATCTCCTTATCGGCGGACCGATAAGCTCGTACAATAGTCTGCGGCCGATAAGACCAATCGTCTCCCTCACTGTACGCGCAGTTACGAAGCAGTTGGTGTACACGTGATGACTGGGCTGCCAACGCGAATTTCTGTTCGTATATATCGAATCTATATGGATAAATAAATATTTCTAGACGCATTTTTACACTAAGTTATCTAGTCCCAAACTACAAGGTTGTGTTATCGGTACGAGGTATATGATAAACGTGCTTAAACAATTTTTCTTATGTAGATAAATATATATTATATATAGTCTGTGACGGAGACCTATGTTCACACTGGACTCAAACAGGTTGAAAAGATGATGATAGATATGATGTATCAAAGACACTAAGAAAACACTATGCTCCCCACACAATATTTTTCGAGTCACTGGCGTAGTGACGCCAATGGGATCGTGAAACATTTATATTTATATCGATAGAATTACATTTGAAATGAGTAGAATCACTCGTTCAACCGACCTCAAAAAAGGAGGAGATTTTCAACGCGGTTGGATTTTTTTTATGTTTACACTTCAGAAACAAGTCATTTATGAGCCGATATAAAAAAATCTTTATACATGCAGTGGCCCCATATTAATTTCATTGATATTGGATCTTAGCGTTCAGATATACATCAGGGAACTTCTGAAAATGAGATAAAAAATGGACAGCGAGTGAGATTGTGAAGTGAAGAGAATTCGAGTCGGTTTTTTTAAATGAAAATAGTTCTACTTTTCTGACTCGGATAATTGTTACGGATTTGGGTGTTTGTTTACCAAGGCTGACGGTCGTAAAAAGTATAGCCAAAAACAGCTTACAACATGATTCACATGTGTCGATCACACCTAGGTGGGCTAAGAGCAGTAGGTTGATGATAATTTAACGCCCTGTGCCGATTTCCAAGACACGAGTAACAGAAGTTTGATTGTAGCAATTTAATAATTGACAGGTCCGTCCGGGTAGTAAGACCGGCGTAAAGTAGAATTGTTATACTTCTGCATTTGGTCTAGTGAGTGAGGCAACGCATTTGCAACACTACGCGTCCAAATCTCTATGGGCGGCGGTTATTACTTAACATCAGGTGAACCGCCAGACCGTTTGCCACTTTTTCACATGAAAAAAAAATCGGCCTCGGGTTGTTTTACGCACCAATGCAGGTGATTCGTATCCTTGACGCCAAGCCCATAAACGGGCACCGATTTAATTTTTCAAGCTGGCGTGTCGACCTTCGTCTCGACCAGCGCATGACCTTGTATCCTTGGTACGAAGATTTAACTACGCATAGATAAAGATATATAATTTTCGTGAGGTATTATTGTGATAATTCACGGTGCTAAGATTACGTACGCTCGAAAATGTATGCATATAACCTTTATCTAAAACGACAGGTGTGATACTGAGTATGATACGTATGACTTTATACGTAAGTACCTGTAGTAAATAACTCTCAATAATATATTATTACTTTGGCGCCCTTCGAGCTGCGAAGTCGGGCAACGATGCATGTTTGAATAACCATGGCGCGCTCCAACTAATGCCTTTTCCGTCCATCGGGTCCAAAATTCACTGTATTAAATCTGCAATAGATTACTTTGGCAAGTCTATCATACTAAGCGGTCGCCCAGATAGATCCATAAGAGTTTGCGGGCATCAATTGTACTTACAAGCTACACACTATCATTCAGTACTGCTTCGCCCCCCGGCCAATGTCGTTCGGCGCGCAGACGAGGGGCGGGCGTGCGTGTGTGCGCGCGTTCAATGGAGCCGGTGTGGTATCGACGCGGAGGGATCTGCGCGGAGGGGGGGGGGGGGGGGGGGGGGGGGGGCGAGATGAGAGCGCGCCGGGTACACGCCTCGCCCGGGGCCGACCTTGGCCGTGACTCCCCCGCTCTGCGGCTCAACCCGGGGGGACACGCACCCAAATTGATTTTCGTCTCCTGCCTCCCCTTGCTCCCCTCTCTCTCTCTCTATCTCTGCTAACTCGAACGGGAACGCTTTCGCACGTCCCCGCTTCTGCGTCGGTGCAGCGGTGGTGAAACGCTTTCTCCTCCCGGCCCCTATGAGCGATAGTAGTATGCCGTGGAAAAATCGTGGATGACATTGTGAACGACATCGCCCGAGTTTAGCTATCAGTGTTTGCTGTAATTTCACGATTCAAAAAAAGCAATTGAGCGAGAATGTTGAATTATCTTAGATCACTTCCGAAGTCGCTCTTGAATTTGTGGAACACGATAGATTGCAAAACACCTCATATGATATAGCAAATTATAAAACAGGATACGTATTTCTATGATCACACAGATATTTCAATCTGGATACTTGAAAATCTTAAAAAGGTACCATTACAGTTTCCCTTGGCCAGGAAAATCGAGAATTATTTGCTCCGGGCGAACCGAAATCATCAATCACGCTCACTGTTCGTTTATTTTCATAGTCTGTTACGCAACCCGGACAACATAATTTTGCAGCACAATGATGAATTGTTGGTATTTTGGATTCTCGACCAGATCTTTTAATATAATAATATGTATCGTTTCTATATAACGCGTAAAAATTAAAATGCTCTCCATTTCTTGGCGTAAACGCACTTGACTGAAATAGAAATATTTTTTGTCTCTTTTGTCTGTAGTTTTTGAGCCACGTACATTGTATGCGCCAAGGGCCCCACTATTGTCTGTTAATTGAGGAATGAACGTGACTCGGTGATTTTATATAAATTAAATGCCAGAGTAATGAAAATTTATAGCAGCAGACCATTCAGACTCTCTGGTGACCTCAGACCGTGAGACCTGTGTCCGTTATTACGGAAAGTGACCGTGCACAATTTTTTTTAATCGTCGTTATAGTGTGGCTAAATTACTAAATATAATTAATGGTTCTTATTTTTCATGGCAATTATTAAGTGGGTAGTTTAAAAATCAATCGTCGCTACTGTTAAATATAAAAGGAACAAAAAACTTTAAGTATTTACCTCATTTAGATGTACTTTGGGGTTATATATTGTATCGATCGAGTATTTTTCACAATAACTACATTCGACACACCAACTCTTAACAAAATCGTCGAAATCTTAACACTTGGATACAGAGCGGCAAAATTCAAGATACTCCCAGCCAAAGCAGTTTAGAATTAAAAAAAAAAATAATCTATCGGCGGCTGCTCACATTGATGAGACGTTTTCATCTGTCTTCTATAAACACAGTCTCTTCTGTTAGTAATGCACGAATTCACTAAGATAAACACGCAGATTGGGAACGATAATCCGCTGGTTATACAAAAATATCCTTTGTGGAAATCAAATCCACCAACCACATCACAGAAGCTTAGCGACTTCGCCAACAGTAAGGATTATCACATTACATCAGTGACAGTGTCCTTATACCCTTAACAGTGTATCCTCCAAATTTAAGGAGAAATGCCAGGACATAAAATCTGACTTTTACAGTAGAATACTGCGACATAAATGCTCCTAAGGACACGAATCTTCGCAAGTAAAAACTAAATGAATCTACATAAACTCCGTAGTAGTTTTATTACTTTGGCTTTGTTGACTAAATCTCATTATTTGTCTAGTTTCATCATTTCATTTGATGTTAGTAAAAAAAAAACAAAAATTGTTCAAAACATTACTCCTTTATTGATCGAAGGTAAAAACAGCCACAAGATGTCTTCATCGCTTTCTCACGTGTTGCGATTGAATTGCGTCGTAGAAAACTCGCTAGGTGTTCTACCGAAATAGACGGAAACGTATCTTTGTTGGAGGCCGCCGAGAATAAATTCTGGAACTAATAATAGCCGGGAGGCGTGCCTTGTCTTGCTCTACAATGTGCATAGCTACTGTTCGAGCGGCCATTTTGTATTTGAGGTGTATCACGCGGTGTGACGGTGGTCACGCCTGGTAGAGCTGGCGATCAAAAATTCAGAAGAAACTACGATTCTGTAGATAGACTAGTACGCACTAGTATTAGTCGTAATCCTTTAATGTTTATTTAAAGCAAGATCGGCGGATATTTTCTCATATCTAATTTTAATCACATTAATCATATCTAATAGTTCCAAATTCCCTATTAACTAGATATCTTAATGCTATCGCTTGAAATGACGTCTCAAGCAATGACGAGGATTCTTCAAGGCAAGAGTGGATATGTTTTTACTGAGGTGACGCGCTTACCATCAGGTGGGATGGCAGTAAGTGCTGGCCAGTATTGAATAAAAAAAATTAAGTCTCAAAATAGAATCCGAAAAGTATAACTGCAATTACGCCGTATGAGTTATACGAACGTGTTAAATCTCGCTTCAAAACGTAATTCCAGAGATGCCGCAATTTGTATTATGCATTTTTATTTCGAAATGAAATTTGTAATTTTCTTTAACAGCTTTCGTGGATCTCGTCCGAGTTTTGCAATTGCAGCTCTTATACATAATGTTTATGTAACTTGAAGACGGTGTTTTTCCTTTGTAAATTTAGTATCGATTATTTGGATGCGCTGGAAAACTTTCAATGTTAGTTTCCCTCGTCATTTCAGATCGCGTGATAGGTGATAGTGCCGCATGCGTCCTTATCGAGTATCGTATGGATGTTGTTGTCTGGTTTTCAACCGACTTCGAAAAGGAGGACGCTTTCAATTCATTTGTATATACACATATATTTTATGTTAGTTATGTCAGAACTATGTCATTTATGAACCGATGTTGAAAAATATTTTTGCATTCGCTTCGTTTTAGCTTCCACGTGGCCCCATATTAATTTAATTCATATTGGCCTCAAAATCAAAAAGAAAATGTATTGAGAGTGAGATATTTTTGTTGAGATATTGTAACTAAAAATGTACTTGTTTTGTTTCTGTTTCTCTTTTTAGAACTCGCTCTCATGTCCCGCAATAGATACCTTGTCCATCACGTCTAGGAGTTTGAGCGCAGAAATTTTTCGATATCATCAATTTCATATAATAATTTGCACCTATGATCTCGTTCTATATCTCTATGAGGTCGACGGCCTATAAATAAAGCCATGAATCGATACTATATTCTTGTTTGCTATAAATAATTTTAAGCCTTAACATACATATATAAATTACCACGGTTCTTTCAATAGAGTTAGATCTCTACTGAAAGAAGCTAAAATGTCCGCGCATCAAATTTGCTTTTTACAAAACTGACCACCTAATGAGTTGCTCCGTTATATAAACATTTTTCCACATGTTATTAATTACCGCCAATGTTAAGATAATGTCATGTTCTAGGAAGATGTTTTATACGGTTTTTTTTTTCTCAAATTGCCCGTCAATTTTATATTACTCAGACGTGATCGTTCCTGATGTGTCAGTTTATATTAACCGGAACAGTGAGTTTTAGTTCGATGAAATAATGTTTGGAGCAATATGATACCGAGTTGCGAGTATCGCTAAAGTGTTCCTTTCATTTATATATGTAATTGTCAAAATAAAGACTAATAATTGTCGCGTTAAATTATAGATATATGTTATTTGATGCTTTTATGAGAGTGATATATATTTTTCTTATATTTTCATATATTTACATTTAACATATTTACTATATCTACGAACAGTGTCCATAAAATTAAACTCGATTAAATCTGTAAAAGTAGTGTCGTATATAAAGTGGAATCGTTTACCTGTCCCACATTTTAGGCTTAATTCGAAATTCACGAAAAACGCACCGTTGAAGCGCTTCGGTTGTCGCAATGCAAACGCGTCGTTTATAAAACTCCCCACGTCAGGTTTTACAATCGCATTCTCGCCGATGCGAAATTGTTGTTTGTATTCTTTCGTTTCGCAATGCGATATTCGGTGGCGGCGCGCGCGGTGCTCGACAATTTCGCAAGCCGGCGCGGCGAGCGACGACTCGATGCACGGCCCGACCGTGTGTTCGTTTCCCAGAATACCGCCCGCGCCGGTCCGTCACGTCGCCCCCCGGATTCTTGGCGACGAGACGGGATTGTCGTGCGGTGCGGCGATAAGCTCGTCGCATGATATATCACATCGTCTAAGTGTTCGGTTCGAAGCTGACTTGGTTTGTGGTGCGACTATAGCAACACTAAATGTTATAAATATTAATTTTATACATAGCATAAGGCAACGTTATTGTATCACTTAATCTTCCGCTCAGCCGATCCCGGGCCAAATACACGCTTGTAACTTGTCCTGTGATTTTTATTAATTACTCCGCTCCACGAACGCAGCACCTACCATAAGCAGTCCAACGGCCTACTGTTAGTTACAAGCTTACAAGGTGCGTTCTCCCGTACGTGATCACATCATGTAAGGCATGGTTCGAAGCTGCCTTGGTTAGTTATAAGGTACGTTCCCGTACGTGCTTGACTTGTTATTGGAGATAGTTTATATGAGAAGGTGGCCAGCGAGCTGATGTTCACCTGATGTTAAGTGATAACCACTAGCCATGGACATTTGCAACACCCGTAGAGTTGTAGATGCGTTGCCACCTTTTAGGTGGCAACGCATCTACATGGCATAAAGTGGTTCTCGGCTACATCACTCACCAGACGAATCGTAGAAGTGTAACACTTGTACTTCTCGCTGGTCTTCTGTGAGTTCTTGGTACTTTCCCGGACCTGCCCATTCGTGCAACAGTGAAGACTGTTGCGTGGCTTTACCACAGTAAAAAGTTCTTATTGTTTCATGTTATTTTTTCATTGTTCCAAAGACGACGTTATGCATTTCTAAGTATGCTAAAAGACGAAAGAGAAAAGAACAACGGGGCTGTCTAGATCCTATATCGAACTAAGCAAGTTAACGGTACGTTAACATAAGGTGAAAACAATAAGTATTTAAAAGTATTTAAGCAATAAATGAAGTTAGGCGTCATTTTTAAAATGCGATTATCTTAACAGGAATTCACGGCCTATACTCTTTATCGTCCTAGTTTTTTTCGATACTTTTTAACACTGATTTATTTGACCATCCAATGTTTCAGCAATGCTTTACAATTTCTACTTAACACATTTATAATGTTTTTTAGTTTCTTCCATAGATATAATGACGTCTACTTAACTTGTTTGAAGGTCGAGCATCTGTAGCCACTCGACAAGAAATTGGATCTGACATTCTCAGCAATTTACGCCGCGAGGAATAGCTTAATATGATAATTTCATTATTTGGATATTAATTTATGCGCAGATGTGTAACTACAAATGTATAATTATGTGGCACGTCTACTCTCGGAGTAAGCCTGCTATTACTATTTTTTTAATAAGTAAATCCACGAATATATTACTCAGGTGTGTTGGAGCGGCGAATCAGGTGTACCAAGGTCGAAAATTTAAATACAAATAGTAATCTCTGCTCGGTCTTTCCGTTGACAGCGTAATGTAACATACTCAGAATTTTCTTACATGATGGATGAAATTAAAAATAGAGACAGCTCGTGACGACACACTTGATGAACAAACAACGTCGGGTACTTTATTTCTCACTCAATAACAACTTTTTTAACCGACTTCAAAAAAGGAGGAGGTTCTCAATTCGACCCTATTTTTTATGTTTGTTACCTCAGAACTTTCGACCGAGTGAACCATTTCTTTTTTTTTTTATTATATGGAACTGACTAGCGCTTGACTGCCATCCCACCTGATGGTAAGTGGCGATGCAGCCGTGGATGGTAAACGCGCTAGCTTAGTAAAAGCCTATTCACACTTGCCTTGAAGACGCCTACGTTATAATCGGATGGGAAGACCGACGCCGGCAGGTTGTTCCATTCCGTTGAACCGATTTTGATGATTCTTTTTTTAATTGAAAGCTGGTGCTTCCCTTGTGGTCCCATATTATTATTTTATATCGGTATTGGATCTTGCGCGCCGGAGATACTTAGGGAAGTCCCGAAAATCAATTATAAAATTAATACAGACCGAGATATTCGAAGTCGGTCTTTTGTTTTCGTTAATAAAAAAAATGGAATTGTTAACGGAAGACACTCGAGCGACGCGGGGGAGTGAGCAGTCTTAAATTTCACCGAGAACAGTCTAAATTCGTTGCAAGCCAAAGCGGTTCTACGGCCGCGTGGGCACGACCACCAAGCCTCATGCGTCCTTCCTCCGAACCGGTTGACGTCCACCGTTCGCTGAAGAGCCGCGCATCCGACACAGCTTTGGTACCGTGGGCAGTGCGTTGATAGGTCAGCTTGAATCGGTCAACCTGTACCGCCGAACCGTTGGCAGCCCATTCGGACAGCACGCACTTGCGCCCGAGCTATCGACTCGCGGTCGTTTTAACTTCCACTTTTATTTTTTTTTAATCTCGTCGCTAATGGCCCGTTCGCATCTCGCCTACTTGTGTCGGGTTCCGACGTTGCGATTTGGCGTTGGTCCATCCTTGGTTACCTACCGTTTTACCCCTTGACGCGTTTAAATCGTCTCGTTTGTTATATAAGTAACAACAATGCAAAAATCAATGTATGTGTTAGATAGAAGGCTTTGGCATTAGTCGGTTATAATTTATATTAATTGGTTCACGCTTATAATCTTTCAAAAATATGCCTCGTCAGTCGAGAAATAAGTCTTGATGTCATATAGGTGATGAATTTACCCGTTCAACAATAGCTAAATGATAAATTATCTTGTTGTTACAACAGTTTCAATGTAGCCACGCAGCAATCTTGCTGTTGCACGAATGCGCAGCTCCGTCCGGGTAAGTACCACGAGAAGAAGACCGGTGTGAAGTGATTTTAACCGTCTTCAAAAAAAAGGGGGATATCAATTCGAATGTTTATTATATTTTTTCGTTCGGGTATAACTCCGTCATAAATACACGCGTTTGCAAAATTCATTCCGAAATGGTCACAAATAAATTTTATATCTCTGATTATGAGATAAAAATTCGACTCCAAAAATGTTTAAATTTTGTTAGAGGTTAGGTAGGTTAGGTTAGGTTAGATTTTCAAGATTTGATTATATTAGATTGAGTATTATTATAAACTTTTTAGTACTAATACAGTTTTTTGAAGTCTGTTCTTTTTTTGTATTTTTTTTTTTATTTTTGCTATTCGTCTGTTGAGTGAGGTATCGCGTTTGCAAACCAATGGGTGGCGGTTATCTTATCACTTAGATCAGGTATACCGCCGTTTCGCTTGTCACCTTTTCATATGAAAAAAAAAAAAAAACAATTCGGCGCTTCTTAATGAACGTAACGGAGCATGAAGTGACCTTCGCGTCAACGTTGAGCGCTTCCACCGCGGGATTGGGATCAGATCTCGTGACGTTCGACAGGCGAGCTGCCAACGCGCTGATTGACAAACCTTGGGACGGTGCTAGCGATGGGTTCTTTCGGTATTTTTATCGTTCGTATCGATCCCCGTCCGATCGTTCGGTCTGAAAGTAAAAGTGAAGTAACAGCCTATACAAGTCCCACTGCTGGACAAGGCCTCTGTACAGAGGGTATTAGGGCATAACCCACCACGCCACCCTACTGCGTATTGACAGAGTTCACATATCTTCGGAATATTTTTTTATTGTTGTTAGTTCGAAATGAAGCACGTGATAGGTCAGCGCTTAAAATTGTAACTAACAATTCCGTTGGTGCCAGCACGGGGCATCAATTTCAGGTTGCTCGAGTATATTAAATTGAAAGCGAGCGCCCGTTCACTGAGCTATCGTACGGTCTGCGTCCGAAAATTACTCAGGACCGAAGCAGGGATCGTGTCGCGATCGAGCATTTGACTTTTTGAATGGAACAGATTGTGTTGACTTGCACAGGTTGTCTCTGCATCTAGTGGGTGGATCGTCCAACACAGCGATGGCCAGCACGAGGCTGCCGCTCAAGAACCACTCATCCCCATAGGTTATGAGAGGTTTATGAGAATTAATCTCAATGGGAAATAACGTCTCTCAGCTTATTATTTCAACAGCCATCGAATGGGATGAGGAAAAGCTCACATGACTCTCAAATCCGCTTTTGCTCTTCACTCGTGTGTTATACGCTAAGTATTTAGACCGACGTTGTAAGCGCGCGCTTGAGACCAATTGCACTTTCTTTGCCTTTAAACGCCCTCCAAGCTCTGACCTCTCAACTCTTGAAAAAGTCGTGCTATTTATAAAGAGGGTCATGGCAGAAGATTATATGCGACTGTAGAGGCATGTTTGTAAACTTCGTTGCGATGTTATTTCGCGATGATGGATAAACTTTTTTCGGTAACATTATTCTTCTAAGACGGTTATTTTTCTTTCACTTATTCTCGCCTGAACTGAGCGTAGAAAAAATCATTTTATAATTGAAAGCGAGTCAAGAGTTTGTATTGTAATTAAAATTAACACTGCCGGAATGTAATTGTGACGCTATAAACATTTTGTAACGTATTTTCCCATAAGCTTTTATCATAATAAATTGAGTTCTGTCCTTGTATTTATGAAGCACACACTTATTTCCTTTCTTCTGCGTGTCGCTTTTGGCCTATACCCGTCACATAATTTCAAAACTACTCGCTTCTATTGTTAAGAATAGGATAGAAGGTACATACAATTGCAACAGAATCGGAACTATAATAAAAGCTTCATATATTAAGTGGAAGTTTCTTTCGAAAGGATGGACTCGCGGCCTGTTGACATATTTCATGATTTATAGGCGTTCGCAAGAAACCTTCAAGCTTGAGAAAAGTACGTTTAATGTACAAGTGAATATTGAAACACACAATATTGAAACTTATTCATAAGAGAGCCAGAAAACATTTTGGGTTTAGGAATGTTTGGACTCTGGATGGTGTGATAAACATTAAACTTCCATCTCAAGCCCGGGTGAAGATTACAACTGAAGAAGAGCTGGTATCGCTGATTGCCAAATTTCCCATGGACTCCCCGTCTTACTCCGGTGCTCCTTCTGCTCATATTAAAGCAGCAAGTCATGGAGTCAAAAAACTATGCAAACACAGGAAACCTCCCCTAGTTTACAAAGCGTGGTGGGCCGTCGTAAGCAAGTTGTTGTGGTGGCTGGTAGCGATGAGGCCAAGAAGACTCGTCGGTTTATAAATAAGAAATAGCCTAATACATATGATTTAGTAGACCTAATCTGTTCTGTGCAACTAGAATAATATTATTCCTTGCAAATAACTATTTTAAAATCATTAATTTGGTGCTCAATATCCTTTTAAAATTTGTTCTTTTTTATTGGGCTTTGTTGAATTTTCCATTTAAACATGGTTATAGTATTCCTAAATTTATACATAACCTTTTATTTTATTTTTATTTTACATAAGTGGTTATTGTTATGTATTAAGTTTTTCCATTATTTATTTCCTATTAGATTCTGTTTTTTGTGATTCTAATTTTAAACCATTAATAGCCTCCTAAGGTATTTTTATGTAAGAGCTCACTAAGTGCTTTTTGATATTTTTGTCAGTGTTTTTGTAATTATTATATTTTTTTTTTCTAGTTTTCACCCTGAGATTCAATTGTCCTTTTGTATAGAAATAATTGTACTGTACCATTTTTTTTTTTTTTAAATTTTTTTGGCTCTTTTCTCTTTAGTTTTGCCCAATTCGTATTCATATCTATGTTTTATCACATTGCTCGTGATTGTAATTGTGCACCTTTGTAATCCACGTTTTTGCCAGTGTCTTTCAGTTTTAGCAAAATTGTACTCTAATGTGCTGAAAAGTTAATATTACTTTTAATAACATGACATAACTTTCTATTTTTTTATACGAATGTAAACAATAAATGCGAACGTCGCAAGTAAATATTACAACCTACTTAGCAATTGACAATGACATTGACATTTCGTATTCTGTCACTGGTTTCTTTCTCTGATGTCAATGGAATAATTTAAATATTTTTACTTGTTTTTTGTCTGTTATTTTAACATGATTGTAATATTCTGTTTTTTTCTTGTTATTTTATATTAGTTATTATTTGTCAACAGTCAACTGTAGGAATGGTGTATTCTGTAATTAATTCGAAAAACTTTATTATTATTATTACCAATTTTTTTTTTTTTACATATTTACTTATTATTCTGTTCTTTTATATTTTTATATATAAATATATATAGCTATTATAATTATGACCGATTCGGAATCATATTATTCGGCTTCTGATTCAGACCTGTCGTACAATTCATGTGATAGTCTTACAAATAATAGTCCATCGAATCTACATGAGCAACTCATTCAAGTTTTCTCTTCTAGGGATAAGTTTTTAAATATATGTCATATCAATGCTCAAAGTGTTCCGAGCCATTTCTCTGAACTTCAAACATCGTTTACTCCTGACTGCATACACGCAGTTCTAGTGTCCGAAAGTTGGCTCAAGCCTTCCTTGCAATCAACATTCTATCCGTTATCTGGTTTCGTGCTTATACGCAACGATCGCACGGAGAAAGGAGGAGGAGGTGTAGCTATCTATTTGCATGCATCTATTACGTATAGAGTTGTGCTGACATCTCCATCACGTTATTCTGCCTCCGCAGAGTTCTTATTTGTCGAAATAGAACTAAAGGGGACAAGGATGATTCTCGGAGTTGTGTATTGTCCACCTGCTTCTGACTACTTCTCCTCTTTAGAAACGGCTCTCGAGAGTATCTGTTCCGAGTACTCACACTGCATGGATAATGGGTGATTTAAATACTGATCTTTTAAAAAGCTCCCCTCGTTCTCATAAACTTCACACAATCATTGAGTCAGTTAATCTTTCTATACTCCCTCTTAGGGCTACTCACCGTAACATTGGCACTGATGACTCCTTGATTGACCTTATTATAACTGCTTCTCCTGATCATGTGGAGACATATGGTCAATTTTCTGCGTCGGAGTTCTCGCGTCATGACCTTATATTTTCTTCTTATAAGCTTAAACCTCCCAAATACAGCCCTCCTATCCTACATTTACGCAGTTTTTCCAGGATAAACTTTGAGGTATTCATGCGTGATGCTTCAAATTTTTTTAATTTTACAGCACTGGTAGCAGCATCTACAGTTGATGAAAAAGTCTCTATTCTCAACGACATGGTTCTTAAACTGTATGATACTCATGCTCCAGCGCATAATGTTAGATTAAAACGCCCTCCCGCTCCTTGGATGACTGAAGAAGTAAGGATGGCAATGGCGAAACGGAATCGGGCCTTTTGTCGGTTCAAAAGGAATCGCACTGAGGATAATTGGTCTATATTTAAGATAGCTAGGAACAGGTGCAACCAAATGGTACGGACAGCTAAACGCCGATATTTTCATAATAATATTGTTAATTCATCATCTGCTAATGTTTGGAAATTCCTTAAATCTGTCGGTATTGGTAAACCAGCAATGTCGGAACGTGTCTTTTCTCTTTCTCTAGATGATATGAACCGACATTTTTCTTCTACGTCTGCCATGGACCCCGGAATCCGTTCTCAAGCTATTTCAAACATTGCGTCTTTACAAACCTATTTAATTCCCCAATTCAATTTCAGTTCTGTTGATCAAAACGACATTCAGAAGTTTGCATTAGCTATTAAGTCCAAGGCTATGGGCTGTGATGATATCAGCAGGTTTATGATAGTCTCACTATTAGAGCATCTTCTTCCAGCAATCACCCATATTATTAACTATTCCCTTGATTCCGGTCAATATCCTACTTGCTGGAAGAAAGCCTATGTCCGACCTCTTCCTAAAGTTCCTAATCCTACGCAACCGAACCATTTCCGTCCAATATCAATTCTGCCCTTTCTGTCAAAAATTCTGGAAGCCTGTGTTCACAAGCAAATCTCCTTATTTTTAAATAAACATAACCTACTGAGTATCTATCAGTCTGGTTTTCGTTCTGGCCACAGCACTACCACAGCCTTAATCAAAGTTACCGACGACATTAGACAAGGCATGGAAAATAAAAAGGTAACTGTGTTAGTGCTTGTAGACTTTTCAAACGCTTTTAACACAGTCGACCATGATATACTCCTTTCCATGCTCTCCCATATTAATTTTGCAGACTCTGTTGTAGAATGGTTTTCATCTTATCTTCGTGGGCGTCAGCAGTCAGTTACCTTGGGGCAAAAAAGCTCAGCTTGGGCTGATGTTGAGTCTGGCGTGCCACAAGGCGGCATACTGTCTCCCATAATCTTCTCTATTTTTATTAACTTTCTTACTGCTTTTTTGAACTGTTCGTATCATTTGTATGCTGACGATCTTCAGCTTTATGTGCAAGCCGATATAGACGACCTTCATGTTGCGATAGTAAAATTAAACGAAAACCTAGACAAAGTTTGGAGTTGGTCAAGTTCTCATGGAGTTTCGGTCAATCCCTCGAAATGCCAAGCTATAGTTGTTGGTAGTTCAAGAATGCTGTCAAAAATTGATTACTCGTCTGTACCTCCTATAAAATACAATAATATAATAATTCCTTTTTCAAACGTGGTAAAAAATCTAGGTCTGCTTATTGACAATACTTTGAATTGGAGTGTATACGTTACCGAAATAAGCCGCAAAGTTACTGCCACCTTACGATCTCTCTATCGCTTAAAACATTTCCTCCCTTTCAAAACTAAACTTTTGCTTGTCCAAACGCTCATTTTACCCATTATCGATTATGCAGATGTGTGTTACCCGGACGTATCCCAACATCTACTAAACAAGTTGGATCGCCTCCTTAATAACTGTATCAGGTTCATTTTCGGCTTACGCAAGTATGACCACATATCCTCCTATCGATCTCAACTTAATTGGCTTACTATTCGGCAAAGGCGGCAGTCCAGAATTTTGCTTGTGCTTTTTCTCCATTTTAAATGATTGTTCCTCCCCTTCTTACCTCAAAAACAAATTCTTGTATCTCTCCTCATCTCATGATAGGGTACTTCGGTCGGTCGTCTTACACGAATAAATTATGCATTCCAGCGCACTTTACCGGGTTCTCTGTCAACTCCTTTACTATCCAAGCTATACATCTTTGGAACTCCCTGCCCGATAACGTAAGAAACGCAAAAAGTAAGACATCTTTCAAAATATTGGTTCGTGAACACCTGTTAAAGACAAATTCGACCTAAGATATGGTCTGTAGTTAAAAGTAGAAGCTAATTGTTATTTATTTTTACAAGTATACATCTTTATATATTTAAATATTTGAATATATATATATATATATATATATATATATATATATACATATGTATATATACATATGCATGTATATATACTTAATATATGATTTGTATCCAATTATAATATTATTTTCATATATATTCTCTTTAATTAAAATTTTATTATTCTTGCATCTTTTGCTGCACCTACCATAAACTCTCACCACATCCTGGGTTGACTGGTAGAGAATGCCTTTGGGCATTAAGTCCGCCCTTTGTTACCTTGTTTTACTGAAGGTTGGCAATAAAGATTAAATAAATAAATAAATAAAACTTACGATACAAAATCCGTTTAATTAATTTGGTTCCTAGCAATGGACTATATGCATCTTCGATAGAATAGATAATATACATATAAAAAATAGATTGAGGTATTTAAACACGTTTCCCGGTATCTTATCCTTTAAACGAGCAATTCTTGTATATATATATATATATATATATATATATATATATATATATATATATATATATATATATATATATATATATATATATATATAATCGGAATCTCGGAAACGGCTCCAGTGATTTTCATGAAATTTAGTATGTGCGTAGATTCGGGGGCGAAAAATCGATCTAGCTAGGTTTCATTTTTAGAAAATTTCCCTTTATCCCTATTTTCAGGGAATGAAAAATATCATTCGAATATGACGGTAAATTTCGCCGCAAAAGAAAATGTCATAATAGCTCGGTCGGTAATCGGGCGGCCCCAAAACAGACGGCCGTGGTTCGCGTCACGATCATTTACACATTTATTTTTTTACTTTTTTTTCGATTCCAGATCATTGCTTTCTTTATTTTTATTTTTTTTGTCGATTTGATATTTTGTTACTTTTTTCCCTTTTTTTAAAGTTGTTTCTTTTGTGAAAAACGCCACTTCATATTTTCTTATTATTAGGTCGGTAAGATCGAAAAATATT